AATACAATATTTTTGACTGAGTATGGATAATTTTAATATTATATATCTACCTTGCGGGTCTATAACTGTGTCTAATATTGTGAAGTTCACATTTTTATGTATTAATATTGCTACTCCTCTCTGTCTTGAGTTATAGCAGGCTGAGAATACATGAGGAAACTCAGGAGATTTTAGCTCATCCACAGTTGACAGTAATTTATGAATCTCTTGGAGTAATACAACATCTGCCTTTAATCTTTTAATCTGGCTAAAGATTCTATTTTTTTTATGTTGGCTACCGGCTCCATTAATATTCCATGTGACAAACCTTAAGATGCCCATATTTGTGCTTGTGAAAATATAATGAATACACAATTTCGTTCCACCTCCTGTACCACATGTGATGTGAATGACAATAAAGAACTTTGAACGTTATTCACTTCTGTATGTGTTCTTCCTGTATAATGGTCAAATTGATCGTCCCCCACTGATGAGCAGCAACAGTGGTTTTTCTAGGATCACTGCTGATGTTTGTTCTCCTTTCAGAGCAACAAGCAGGACATCTTTCTCTTTTTGCACATGTGTGCCCACCTGCTGAACATCAAGTCATTAACTGCATTTGATTAGCCGCATTGACCTGCTATAAACCAGTAAGCATACTCTTGAAATCAACATACGTCATATCTTGTAATATTTACTGTATTCAGGTTTTTGTCAGCAAATTGGAAATTTATCTAAATTACTATGTAGGGAGAAGATCGCCTGAAGATGAAAGTTGGTACGGTCACTCACGTAGAGTTTTAATCCATGATTTGGGATTAAAAGCAGTTATTGTACCTGGTTATATTTGAGATCTTCGGTGGGAGACACGTACGCTCCTCGGTGCAGCGTTGAAGACCCACCAGTGATCTGACCTGCAGAGACAGGAAGGATGAATCTGTGAACTGGAGCTTCAGTCTGAACACAGTCGCCTCTGTGACAGACACCCAGGATGGAAAACTTACCCGCCATGGCGTCCTTCCGGGATGTGTGCTCGCCCTTGTTGCCATGGAAACTGGCATTGGCAGTTGATTCATAGTCTGCCTTTCTCTCCTTCAATGCCATCATCTCTCTGGGGGAGGCAGGAGCACTTGCTACACATGCACACATGCACGCACATGCACAGAGAGAGAGAGAGGGAGGGAGAGAGGCAGAAAGTGAAAGACAGAAAGAATGAGAGAGAGAAAGAGACAAAGACAAAAGAGAGAAAGTGAGAGAGAGAACGAAAGAAAGAAAGATAGAAAAAGAGAAAGAGAGGAGAAAAATAACAAAAGAGAAAGAGAGAGAGATCGAAAGAGGGAAAGAGAAAGAGAGAGACAGAAAGAATGAAAGAGAAAGAAAGAGAAGGGGAGAGAGAGAGAACAAAAGAAAGAAAAAGAAATATATAGAGAAAGAAAGAGGGAGAAAGAAAATGAAAGAGAACAAAAGACAAAGACAAAGAGAAAGAGAGAGAAAGAGAAATATAGATAGATAGATAAAGAGAGAGAGAGGGGGGGAGAGAGATATCTCTTTACCTCTATTTATCAGACATAAAGAGCAACCAGTCTTCACGTCATTCTGAACTCTTGTAACAAACGTGTTCAGAGGAAGTTGTATCTGTTAGAAGAGTGAGGTCTGGCAGCGAGGAAATCTGCCTCGAACACGTTCCTCAACAGGTTTCATATAAAGCAGCATGTCGGTGTGGATACGTCTGTCTCTTTGTGGCTCTTCTGTGTGTTATTACACAGTGAACATGGATCCATATGCTCAGTAACGTCCTGCAGTAATTCCACCAGTCTACGGTCGTATCAGCTAATTGTTGTCTGCTAGAAGCTGCTGTTAAATGCACTCATTTCAGAGGCTGCATCACACAACACAACGCTCATCTAGATGAGTTTGATGCACCATCTGTGCCAGCTTGTAAACGCAGAACCAAAGTAAATAAAAAAAAGAATTAAAATTAGATTGTACATCACTGCATGTTTCATCTTGCTGCTTTGTTAGCAGACAGGCTCAGGAATGAAGGCATAACTATTGATCTTAAATGTCGGGGTGACAATAAAAGCTCGTCTGAAATCACTTCAAATTGATTTGAATTGGTTATTAGCTCAGACGCATTAAGTCATTTAAAACTCGTACTATTCAAAGCCTAACTTTGAACTTTATTTCATGAGTACGGAGCAAGGATTTCACCTGACAGAGGAGCAATACGTCAGCCGTCGCTGTACTGTGAAGGTTAAAGCAGCCTCGAGCTCTAAAGGAGTGGCGCTCGTTCGACTGGACTCTACAGTGAAAAGAAGGATGGGGGGGTTGATGGGATGACAGGAGGGCGGACTCACCTGATCGATTGTTGGGGGAGGTCCGTACCGGAGAAATGGAGGGAGTGCGAGAGGAAGAATAAGGTCGCTGCCTGTCTCGCTCTATCGTGGAGGAGGAGCCAACGAAATGGTACTGAGAGTAACCGTCCTGAGAGAAGATGAGGAGACGACGCTCGAGTTACACCCTCATGTTGGAACTCTTATCATCGTGGACATGACCAAACTGTCTGATGACAGATTTGTTCAGTGTTGTGCTCCCGGTGGTGGAGCTGTACCTTTTTGTAAAGGCTGCGCAGGTCCCTGTACTGCCACATGCTGTTCAGGACTTGAGATGCTGCTTTCACCACTTTAGGACTATGTCTGGGAATTCAGCAGAAGACAAAGACAGGAAGTAAAGCTTTACTGACCGTTTTATTGGTTTGCTTGTTTGTTTGTGTTTTGCAGGGTGTTGCCACAAAACGATCAAAATACAAAACCACTCCATCAGCTTGTGGCACCTTCAAACGAAAGCAGCAGCACTCAAAAACAATAATCGTCTCCGTAGAGGGACGCAAATTGAACTGAGGCCAAAATGCTAAATTGTTTCCCTGATTGATTAATTGGCCAATATTTGACTCTGCTTCTTCCAGGTTTTGATCTGACTGACTAATGGATGTGAGTTTAATTGGCTCATGTGGCCTTATCACCATCTGGGAAATTAAACATTATTTCTCCAAGACATTTCAGTAAATGTTAATCTTTGGGATTCTGGGATGGCGTATTAAGCCAGAGGTACCAAACAGGCAGAATGCTTTTGTTGTTGCCATTGTGAGTCTCTGTGAAATAACTTGAAATCTTTGAGCACATCTTTCATGAAATGTTCACACCATTGAACTATTTTATCAAGTTCTCTGTCACTGTTTTTTTTTTGTTCAAATAAACATTTTTGAATGTGAATGAAACTCCTTCAAAACAATCCATGACAAAACCCAAACACACTGTGGTAAAACACTCGTATTTCTATCAAGCTTGATACAAAAAGGATTTGAGTCTGACGTGGCTCTGTCTATATACTATATACTATGTATATATATATATATATATATATATATATATATATATACCTGTATAAATAAAGGTTGATTGATATATATATATGTGTATGTATACAATCCTCATATTGTGTGTGGTTTTGTATATTTGTGTGAGTAAAGTGTGAAAGAGCAGCAGGGGTGCTCCTTCACATTCTCAAACATTATTTTGTGTCAAATTTGAAACTTTGTCTCATTTTGGTCGTTTAACATTTCTCAAATGACATTTGTCTTTTATTTAAATCTTTTTAGCTGTTTAGTGTCTCCTTTTCGACTTTTAGATTTGGAGTAAAACGAGACTCGTTGCATCACTGTGCACTAGATCTGGCTGTTCAGTAATGGATCAAAATGTGACAATCACTATGATACTGATATATATTCAGGTTGGCAGGCTGTAGACTGAGGAAGTCCTCTGGATGGGGGATAAAACATTTCTCACTTAAATAAACTGGTGCAGATGACATATTTTTTGTTATCTACCTGGATGATTGAGCGTACAACCTAATCAGAAGTATGTCTCCATTCAACCAACATTCAAGCTTGCATTTTTGTGGATCCATTAATTAAACATTCAGTGGATCAGTTCTGATCATATTTGCCAAACCATGAAACATCAGTGTTGATGCTTGTTTAGAAAACTGCCTGTGACTTTATTCCAAGGTGTATCTGACTCAACAGTAACACCTGATTTTTATTGTTTACTCCGAGTACACCTTCACATTCTGCTTACTTGTCTCCCTTGCTGCGGGCAACGCCGATGAGCTTCTCGATGCCACCGGCGTCCCTCAGGGCCTTGGTGTTCTCCATGTTCTTTGTGATGACCTCATGTAATGCGCAGCAGATCGCCGTGATGGTGTCATCCGACATGGTCTTCCCCACCAGGCTGTTGCTGTTGGTGCCCCCTCCACTGCTGCTGGTGTTGTTGTTGTTGCTGCCTCCGGGTAAACGGTGCACCAGGTCCCTCATGGCGTATTTACCTGTCATGATGGAGGTAAGATGAGAAGGTGAGGCGAAGAAACGGAGGTTAAAATGGAAAAAGAAGGGGCGATGTGTGCTTGTCGCTAATTGGAAAAAAGTTTTGTAAGTAGAATATTCTCCTTTAAAGTCTTTGTTTCAAAAACTGAACTGCACATTGTGCTTGTGTGAAGGTGAACTTTGAAGTTTATCACAATTTATTATAAGCTGAGGCTAAAACCCTTAAATATGTGCACGCTATTTTTTAAAACTTGAAATTTGTTGAAATTAAAACTTGTTTCATTGTAATTTACTGACTTTGCCTTCAAATTTAGCTTAGAATTTTAAAAACTAACATTTGTGTAATTTTAAAATCAGAATGCAATGCTGTGTCATTTCCAACTCATTTAAAACACAAAAATATCATATTCACTGATAACAAGCCAACAGGTTCAAAGTTGTAAGTTTTGCCAGTGATTCACAGAGTTTGAATGTCTGCAGAGACAAGAAGTAGTTGCAATTTTAGGACTTTTATTCTGTTAAAAATGAGCACAGAAAAAAACAGCATAACAATTACAATTTACTTTTAAAGATGGATACATTTACAAAGATTTGAAAACATAACTGAACTGGATCTTTGGGCTTCTAGAGACATTGCAGAAAAGATTTACAAATAAAAGTTAAATTAGTTTTTTTTAAATGTATTTATTGTTATAGATTAGAAAAAAGTTGGCCTCATCTCAGCAGAGATCTACTGGGTACTTTATGTTACACCTCTGGGTAACATTTTAATATTTGTAATTTATTTTTCAACAGTGATACAGAGGCAGTAATAGCTTTAAGGGGTTTACAAAACAATAAGAGTAGATAAAATATAGCCACAAATGTGAACATTTTAGATAAGAGATTTAATACACATCAGTATTAAAAACACTGACTGATGTAACTGGCTGATGCTTGACACTTTTAAAATAACTGGCAATGGCTGCACATCCATACATTTACTCTTTTTAACCCATGTATGCTGTTCAGGGTTTAGGAGTATCTGGTGCTTATCTCAAGCAGTCATTGAATAAGAGGCAGGGTGCACCCTGAACAGACTGACAGTGATTCATGCTCCCACTCTCATCTAATGACAATTTAGAGTTTAGAGTTAACTCCAAGTTTATGTTTTTGGACTGTATACTAATGCCCGAGTACCCAGAGGAATCTACCTCCTGGCCTAGAGTCAAACTCAGACCTTTGTTGCTGCAAGGCAACCAGCTGTCACCATGAAGGCCTGGACTTGTGCATACTTTATTATTTTTTTGTACTTTATTTCCAAGTAGTAAAAAACAAAGCTGCAGCAGCTGCTACACCCAGCTCACTTTAGTCCACAATTTAATTTATTTTTAACCAAGAATGCGCTTATATGTATGCTTTGTACGCATCTAAGTTCTTTAAACTGTTGGTGAATGCACATAATTCAAATAAACGTTCACAATGTGCTTTTTTTTTTTTAGCAGTCCTAGATAGAATCTGTCATTGTGAGATGAATGTAATAAAAATCTTCATCTGTGAGATTGACTCGGTGGTTTTCAGTGTGACAGGCTCACCAACAGCTAATTCAGCTCTCTTGTGACCAAAGACAATGTTTAACAAACTTTAAGCAGTGTCAGAAATCGTCTGTCCAGTCTGAGTGTTGTGACCGATGTCTACATCGAGCCAGTAAGAATCAAGCCTTAAAGTGACAGAATAAATTCAGCAATAGCAAAAATGGAGGCTGCATAAAAGCACACCTGGACTAATAAAAATTCAGAATTCATTGAGGTTCAACAGGCTTCTCTTTTTTCCTCATTCAAATTATTCACGTCTACATTTGCAGAGTTCCAATGTTGCCACTGAAACTTAAAAAAATCTCTGCCACGGTCTCATTAAAGATTTTTTTATGTACTCACTTTGCAGGGTGAACAAACACCAAAGTTTATAAAATTAATGTAAGTTATGTACTCCTACACTGCTGTGGAGAAATTAAATGACATTTTGTTCATATATAAATGGCAATAAAGTTTTATATTATTATACAGTATATTATACCGATGAGAGATTTTCAATACAACTCAGTTATGGATGTAGTCCTCCTCAGTCCAAAGACTGTTTAGAACTATGTTGAAGACGGATTTAATATGACTCTAATACTTTCTTGTGGTCATTGAATAATTTTCACTGATCTAAAGCATCTTTACAAGAATTTAAGGCTCTAAATAAATGTTAAATAAATACAGGTTAACAAGCAGAAGACATTCGTCTAAAAAACAAATTTACTGAATCAATCGAAACTAGGGGCAGCATGGTGGTGCAACTGGTAGAGCTGCTGCCTCTCAGCGAGCAGGTCCCCGGTTCAAATCCTGGTCCATGGGCCTTTCTGGGTGGAGTTTGCATGTTCTCTCTGTGCATGCGTGGGTTTTCTCCGAGTACTCCGGTTTCCTCCCACAGACCAAAAACATGCATGTTAGGCTGACTGGTAACTCTAAATTGTTCCTAGGTGTGAGTGAGAGAGTGAATGGTTGTTTGTCTTGTTTGTCTCTATGTGTCTCTGTGATGGACTTGCGACCTGTCCAGGGTGAATCCCGCCCCTCGCCCAGTGATTGCTGGACATGGGCACCGGCGACCCCCATGATCCAAAATGGAAGAAGCGGGTAAAAGATAAAGGATGGATGGAATCGAAACTAGAACTGCGAGCAGTTATTACAGGGGTCCAAGCCACTTAATGCATGTGGACTTACAGCTAATCTCATCCCCAGCTTCCTGGCAAACTTTTGTACTAAAGACTTGTTGGGGAGGAAATATAAGGTCTAAACAACGAACTAGTATCTCAACAACTTATTCTACCAATACCTAAATATTCTTTCTACTTCTTTAAACTGTTACATTTTCAGGGACCACCACAGTGAGTCATCCTTCTCATCACAATTTGTCCTCTGTCCTCACTCCAACTAACTCCATGTCCTCTCTAACTGCATCCATATATCTCCTCTTTGTCTTTTTCCTGGCAGCTGCATTTCTAACATCCTTCTACCAATATAACCACTGTCCATCCTCTGGACATGTCCAAACCATCTCAGTCTGGTCTCTAACTTTATCTCCCAGTTGTTCAATCTGTGCTGTACCTCTGATGATCTCATTCCTAATCTTATCTATCCTTGTCACTTCCAAGGAGAACCTCAACATCTTCAGCTCTGCCACTTCAAGTTCTTTCTCTGGTTTTCTCCTGTTTTTTCTCGTCCACCTGTTCTCTGTACACACCACAGATCACATCATCTGCAAACATCACAGTCCTCAAGGATTTGTGCCAAATGCCTAGTCTATCCATCACCAGAGCAAACAAGAAAGGACTCGGAGCTGATCCTTGATGCACTCCCACCTCAACCTTGAAGCTATCTGTCACTCCTGCAGCACATCTCACCACTGTCCTGCTGTCATCATACATGTCCTGTACATATATGAGAACATATACCAATGCAATGAGGCCCCAATAAAACAAATATTTATGCAAGACCCCCCCTCCCCCCTCCAACTTCTGACTTGTCAAGGCTTAATGAACCAAGCCACTGTCAGGCTGATGAGGCCGGGACAATCTCTAAGAGGCATAATTGGATCATTTTGCCTACATAAATAGTAGATATGCTCCTTTCCTTTATATTGCTTTAAAGTATAGTTCCCTCAAATGATTTATTGTGGGGCCAATCTTCATTGTTCCAAAATTGAGGGCTCCTGACCATGAAACTCTGAGTGGTCACAGGTGTCATTTTGGTCTCTAGCGATCTCCTTGAGTTTTTGAAGACAGCCGACTCAGTAGCTTTCCACATGTCCCATATTCCTTTTCTGTATTGATTGTGAATTTACCAGAACTCCAGGAGATACGTATTTAGGGCCTTGCAAATCTTTTTGAATCCATCCCATGTTGTACTTTTCAATAACCTTTTATCTTGGTTAATTTAGAACAGTTACATTAAAGAGGGGGTGGACATTTATGCAATCACTTATTTTTGCATTGGATATTTAATAGGGATTACTTAGAAGTAATTAGACTTTCACTTTGCCATAAAAGCTTTTTATTATTATTTTTTTAAGAAGGTCAGTTTATACTGACCATGAATACTTAATGACAGCAAAAAAGCATAAAACATCCAAGGGGGAGAATACTTTTTATAGGCACTGATGCATCCGCCATAGTAAAACTGTCTCTGTCCATCTCTAATGAACAATTTAAAGTCTATCAAACACATTAAAACAAACACTTAAATTATCTTTTTTCTTAAATCTCACAAAGCAAAAAATGCAAACAAACCCAAATCCATCAAGGTAAAGGCAGTGCAAAATTACAGTATATTAATAAGGACACAATAAAAAAAGTTTATTTTGAAGAAGAAGGAAATCCATAGAGGCATAGCTGTCAGACGCAGATAGAGACGTGGCCTCATGATGATCTGAGACAGACTGACTACATTTCCCATGACACTTGTGTAATTCTGTCAGGAAATCTTGTCCTCTGTGCCCTTCGTTCTGACTGGGTCGTCACCCTGGGGTGGTGAACGGCAGTGGTTCCCATCATGACTCGCTGACAGCTTACTTCAACAGAACAAGTACTTCCTTGTTGAATAAACCTTACAGCTGCCTCTGTTTTCAATATCCATGTAATTACACCCAGTAAAAGTGAAGCTCTTAATCGTGTGTTACAGTGGAGCAGTAAAGCAACAGCTGGCTTACAGCAGACCTGCCGAGGACATCTGTATTAATATTTGCTGCTGAGAGCTCTGCGGACAATGTGCTGCTGTGCTGCTAAACCCATTTCATTTTGTGACCACCACAAAGCTAAGGGCAGGACATTATGTTCTCTCAAAACATACCTGCATGCGCTGAGCCAGAACAATAATAATAATAAAAAAAAACTTTGACATTACAGCCTCCTTTCACGAACGACACGGATTGCTGCTTCCACAAACTAAGACATCACACAGTTTAGCTCAAAGCCAAAAGCACCAAACAGTAAATAGAAGAGGCACGGTGCTGTTGCCATGGAGACCAGCAGAAAAGTGGAGTTTATTACAGACATCATTCAGTCTCCAAAGACCCCAAAAAAAATCTAGCATGAAGCGATCAGTCAGAGCCACACTACTGTCAGACTGAAACTATTTGCATAAATGCAAAGATAAATACTCCAAATACATTTCTTTTTGTCGTTTCAACTAAATTTGTGGAGTGATCGCAAACAAAGATCCTCGTCACAAATTCTATTTAAGCAGCTCTTCTAAAGTTTACAGCTGAGCATTCTCCTCATTGCAATGATTTTCAATTAGAGCAGGATTAAGCTAAATGTTCCACTTGAAAAACAAACAAAAAACTGTTGATGTAATGTGATTCAACCAAACTCTATTTTTCAAGCCTGCAAAAGCTAGAAATATTTTTCTCCGTCTCATATACAGAAACAATTTTTTTCCTGCTAGCAGGTATTTTATTCATTTTTTGCACAAATAAGTTTGTTAACTTTATTTTATGAACAATACAAGTGTTGAATTAGCAGTGACTGAACCGCTCACCAATGAGCTCCTTGTTTCTTATATCCAGCGCCATGTTCCTCAGGGCGGTGGCCACGGCACAGACGACCCGGTCGTTGTCTATCCTCAGTAACTCCACCAGGATGGGCAGACCTTTCTCTTTGCGCACTGCAGCTCGGATGTAGATGGACCACTGGACAGGACAGAGGAACACAAGCGGAGATGGGTAGAGACAACATCAGAGATTTTTAATGCCCGTTGCCAAAAGGTGAAAGTGGATCATAATGTTCTTGCCCGTGTCTGTGTTTGTCTGTTAGCAAATATCTCATGAACTACTGGACAAATGACAGAAACTTACAGGAAATAATTAGATGCATATCTACAAATGATTGACGATGGCCGCCACAATCAACGGACTGGAAGTGCTACTCATTGCACAAGATCTTCACAGAAAATGTTAGTACTAACTTGTAAAGCCAATCCTGTTTGTCTGTTAGCAAAATATCTCATGAACCACTGGATCGAAACTTGCAGAAAGTATTTATTGGATGTACATCTACTACGGATTACTTTCTGGACTCAATATTATTACCTGCAGTGTTCCCTCAGTGAGGACCGAACTAGGCAAAAGGGCTTTCTCCTACTCCGCTCCTGTTTCCTGGAATATCTTGCAAAAAGATTTGAAGCTCTCAACCTTGACCTCTCTAAGTGGCTTCAAACATCTGCTAAGTTCATGGCAAACACCAATGCAGACATGTTCCTGTTATTAGTATCCTTCATAGCCTTGCAACCCATCTTTTTTTTTTGTTTGTTTCATTTTTTAAATACCATTTCTTTCACTTGTTCTTTTCAATTTGTATGCTTCCTTTGATGATTGTCTACCGTTAGCATCGTTCTTTGTTAAAACCAGGTCTCTCTTGTAAATGAGTCCCCGTGGCTCAATGGGACTAACCCGTATAAATCAAGGTTGAATGAAAAAATACAGTTCAAGATGGCCTCCACAACTAATTGACATTAAGCAGCATATAATTAGTTATAACACGGGTAATTCAACAGATAATGAGCTAATATTTGATGTGGTAGTAGATGAGAGTCATGCACCCCACATGCTCTGAGCATGACATCTCACATTATTACATTTTCAAGGTTTGACCAAAACAACTATAAAGCCGTAATTTCTTGTTATAGGATGACCTCAGTCCAAAACTCATGTTAGTCAGTGGAAAATATGCATTTCTTCTTTTAGTTCAAATAGTTTATCTACTATTTTACATTTGATCTCCATTCATTTTGTAATTATTAGAGAAAGTGCTGAGCAAGACACACAGATTGAACGTCTCTATTATCTTTGAATTCTCCAATCCTCTACAATCATTATACTTAAACATTCCAGCTGCTGTAACAAAGAACTGAATTTACAGAAGTGCATACTAACCTTACAATCAAGATCTTTGGTATTGTTCCCCACAAAAAGTTAACTTCATAAGGCGATTTTGTTGTTGCCCCGACTCCATTTATTTCTCTGCAATCACTTTTTGGCAAATACTAGAACTTCAAGCTCCTGTTGCAGATGCTCTTGTAGCATAACAAAAACCCTTGTCAGTGTTGAGCTCTTACCTTCCAGCTGCCAGCAGCCAGGTTCTGCAGAGCCCCAGCTGCTCCCTCCAGGGTGTCTGGATTGGAGCACTCAGACAGCAGCGTGAGGTAGGGCTTGACAATGGTGGGGTGCCATAACATCTGGATACCTTTTGGGGGCTCGGCCAAGTCTGGAAATGGGCCGATGCCGTCCCACTGCAGAAGAGAAGACAGAATTCTGAATGGAGGAGTGTTCTGAATTGTGCATGAGGTGATGCTTGAGAGCCGGCGGGGACAAATGGAGACAGGAGACGAGGATAAGTTACTGCTTATGAGCATTCTGGAAATAAAGTAAAATTTTATCTCTCTGGAATGGACCTCTGACTTTTTTTTTCTCTATTGGCAAAGTATCCTTGGGTTAGCTGTGGCTGAGTGGTTAGAGCAGTTGTCCTCCAATGGGAGGGTTGGGGGTTTGATTCTACCATTTTGATTTTCATTTTGATGGGTCAAAGATAAATAACGTCTCACGTTACATTTCTGTTAAATTCAATGCACGTTTATATACAGTCCAGAAAAATGAAGAATCCGTTTTAATTGATGAATATATCTCAGCATCTGTTCTTCTATATATTGGAATATATTGAAATGTTCCTGGGCAAGACACTGAACCCCTTACTGTCTCTGATGTGTGTCCCATCGGTGTATGAATGTGATCTTAAAATCACTGATTAGAATCATAATCAACTTTATTGTCATTGCACAGTTAAGCACAGCGGAAATATATTTCAGTGCAGCCGTCTAACAAGGGTAGATGGAAGTGCACGGAGGCTGCAGCTTTGTTGTGAAGCGCTGCCCTTAATGCTTAGATAAGAAAAGCGAAGAAAAACACGAGGAAAGAAGGCATGAAAAAGATCTCTCACACTGTATCCTTGACACAGGGCACAGTGAACGGTAGCAAAAAAACTACCTCAGCACAAATCAACATAGATAGACATAAGACATTTTATTTTTTTGCAGGGAGGAGGCTGACAAAGGCGGTAAGATTGTCTGTGAACACTGTCAGAAGGTTCCATAGTCCCTATAAAGATGGAACAGTGTCTGTCAGCCGGCTCAACTCTGATAAGTCTGATTAGTCTCTTTAAAATGATTTGTCCAATTATCTTTGTAGAAATGTAGTAGAGTGTTGTATAAATGCATGTGTGGAGGTAAACGAGGGCACATATTGTGTTGTAACGAGCTTTGAGTATCTTGATTAGATAGAAAGGTGCTATATAAGTAAAGTCCGTTCACCATTTGTCTTGATGCACATACATGTTTACCCTCCTATGACCACAATAAACCAATGTGTGTGCTAACACACAGCCCAGGAGGATATGTAGTGTTGCAGAGGAGCTCCTGAATAAAATAAACTAAACTTGCTGCTGCTGAGGTAGTGCAGAGATCAGAGAAGGAAAGCCTGTGATTGAGAGGTCGCCGGTACAAATCCCCTGACTGTTACAACAAAATAATGGTGAAGCATCCACATCTGCCGCCACCCTCATTTACTCCACTCTGGGCCCTTGAGCAAGTATCTGTGGTTGTGTAAGGAAGGGCATCCAGTGTAAAACAATCGCCAAATCTCCTTGCAAGTTTGCTCCCTTTGGTGACCCATGAAAAAGGGAACAGTGAAAAGAAAAAATACAACTTGCTGCTGAGCTCCACCTTTTGATCTATGGCTGCGTTCACATTTGCTCATCATAAATTTACATGAAAAACATGTGTAAGTGCAATATCTCATGAACCACTGGATGGGTTTTACTGAAAATCATTGGATAAGATACTTTTAAAGTCAATCTGGATCTAAATGGCTCTAATAGCCATTCACCCAACAGCCATTTAGCAAACACAAAGATGGCTACAATACAGCTGTTTACAGACATCAAGCAAAACTTTTGTATGTTTTACATTTTGTATGAGTATGGCTAAAGAATGATTCCAATCACATATTCCAAGCACCAACTTATTGGACAAGAGCTTTCTTTGACATAAATAAGTCAACCTTGTATGCTGCTAGTAAATATCTCATGAAACAATGACCAGATTTTACTGAAACTGAAAAAAAAAAAAATAATAATTGAATGTACATGTACAGCTGATTAACTCTTGGAGTCAACATATAAATAGTTTTAACTCAGTCAATTTCACAGGTATTTAGCTAAAATTTGGTGTGGATGTAGCTGAGCATCATCCCCAGCTCATAATCTGAGTGCAAGCAGATTGTTCAGCGTCCTTACTTAAACCTCTGACATGCAAGGTGACTTGAAATAAGCTTTTCTGCAAGTAATGTTTAATATTTATATGGATATTTTAAGAAAAATGCTGCTGCTCCAACTTCTTGTCTATCCATGCCTGGTGTCATACTCGTTCATATTTTCCTATGTGTGTGTGTGTGAGTGCGCGTATATATAATAAATAATAATAATAATAATCATTATATATATATATATATATATATATATA